AACCCCTTACCAAAAAACTTCGTTCTCTTCAATTCATCAACGAGCTGAAAACTCCGTCCACATTTCTTATGTGTCGATTCTACTTATTCTATCATTTTAAGCTTATCAAAATTGTGATAAATGCTGGATCGGTCACATCAAAACGTCTCATAATTATATAGATCATTGTTCTAGTAGCCGCCGACGGCAGTGAGATAATCGTCCTAATGATCAAGATCTTAATATTCATCATCTGGATTCATGTAATAGTCCACATCATCCTCATAATCTTCATAGTGATCATAGTGTTCATCATCATAGTGTTCATCATCATAGTGTTCATCATCATAGTATTCATATTCCTCATCGTCCTCTTCCTCCTTTTCTTTTTTCTTAGCCGCTTCTTTTTCTTTAGCCTCTTCTGCTGCTTTTGCCTCTGCTGCCGCTTTTTCCTCTTCTGCCTTTTTTCCTAGTAACTGTGATTGCTTATAACACAAATTAGCTTTAGCTGATTCAGCGTGTTTCATTTGCATGAACGCGGCCATTGATTGGGGTCCAAAATTCCATGTCTTTTCAAATAGAAACATTCGTTCGCATTTAAACCGTTTTCTCCTTTCTTGTAATTCCCGTACTTTCATGAGTTTCTTATGATAAGCTGCTTTCATAGCATACCATCGCTTCTTTTTTTTATATTTATCCTTCTCATAATTCATATTTAGACGGTTCAATTTTCGTTCCAAACGCATTTTGTCTTTGTCATAGTATGGGCCTATCCCAGGCATAGGGTTTTTACACCTAATTTTGGCTAGTTCTGCCATGAGTTTTTCTCTTTCATTTTTCCATTTTTCCTGCATTTCTTTTTTTTCGTTGTTTATTTTTTGCTGCAGTTTTTTTAACTTGTTTTCGATTATAATATCGTCAACTTTAATTTTTTTGTTCTCATTGTCCAGATATTTTAATAGCTCCTTTCTGGCCTCGTGCTTCTTTATGAGCCTCGTAGATACATTCCGCTGAAGAAAGTTGAGATTAGGTTGGTATGTGTGCATTGTTGCTGAACTCCCCCGTGTCTGCGTTTTCAACGCGTTCTATCGTGCACCCATTAAGCGCACAAATTTGCACATTCTGCGACACATTCACGAGCAGATGTATGAATGCGGCGAGCAGAGGGAGTGACAAACTTTTTCTATTTCAAACTTACGCCTAATCGCATCAAAAAAACGAGAATCATGACCACTTGGAATAAACTCAACATGTTGTTTGTGGTGCCCAGCTTCTCCGCATTATTTTCAACTTGCTCCGTTTTAGCTACTTCCGGTTTAGGATCTTGCGCGATTGTTGATTCATTCCTAAGAGAACTGTCCCCATTATTATAATGTTCATTTTCTACATAATAACTCGGGAAGCCCCCGCGATGAATGCTACCAACTCTAGGGATATGAGGATTGTAAGGTTTGGACACATAACACTTCTCACTCAAGGTGCTGAATGGTTTGTCAACTTCTACCCTTGAGTATAGGGTAAGCGGGGCGTTTGTGCTATGGGACATTGTTTATTCTATTTGAATTATTTGAAGATGTATGTAGGAATTCAGGATTAAATTAATTTGTACTGTTCTTAATAAGCATTATTAGTAAAAATGCTTCTTTTATTTTTTTCCTTCTTCATAATTGTCTGAAAAGGGTTTATTACTCTGTCAATATTATTGAAAGGGAATATAGGCAAATGCGGAACGTACCTGTGTAGAATTGTAATTGTGCGAATGTTTGCGAACAATGGTTTGTGCAACACAGTCTACGGCGAATTTCTGTTACTACATAAATGTAGGCGCAGAAACTGCAGCGTGCGGTAAGCGAAGATCACAATGACTTTTCCTTATACAATGTTCAAGTATACGGAAAAAGTTGTGCATACTACGTGTTCATATAATAATATTTTCTTTTATTATCATGGGTGTTAAACATGTAAATTGCACATACCTATGGTTGTATGAAAAATGCTAAAAAAAAAACAGAAAAAAACAATGGGATATAATCGCAAAAAAAAAAAAAATAATTAATTAAAAAGTGCACATATTTGCTGATGTGAAGAAACATATTTGCTGATGTGAACAATAAATACTGACATAAACAAAGGATATAATGGGTTCATGAGTTATCGTTGAAATACAAATAAATCACTTACAGTTGTCGATTTTCCTTGCACAATTGATTCATGCGTAGCAAATTATGGGTTCATGCGCGTAACACGAAATTTATATAATTTATTTATATCCCATGGCGTATGCACATTTTTAGGAAAACATTTAAAATGGTAATATACATTAAAATGACGATAACCAGGGAAGGGGCAAAAAACAAACGAGGAAAAAATTTAAATTGATAACCTCTTGGAACTTTTTCTTATGTTCCATTTATTACCATTAGATATTAAAATTTTTTAAATTAATTTATAATTCTTCTAATTTTTTCGCCCCTTTTTTTTTGTTATATTTTTGGCAGAACATATAATATTTATTTAAAAAACTGCAAAAGAAAAATTATCCGCGGTTCCTTTAAAAAGTGCTTGTTCATAATTCTTTTCAAAGGGGAAAACAACTCTCAATAAAATTTATTTTTTTTATGATCCAGAGGAAATAATTTTTTTTTTTTTTTGGGATCACCTCTCCCCTTTTTTCTCTTAAAAATGGATGAGCCACGGGTTAATATCATAAGAAGAAGGGGTGTGCGCGAACTTTTCTGTAAGGGCTTCGAGGGTCGGAATTGTTCGTAGAATATTTTGAGTTTTTGCTGTCATCTAATGCTTGTACAACAAAAAAACAAAAAAAAAAACACAAAAAACAAAAAGAAAGTGTTATCCTAAGTGTCGCTACAACTTTGTCATTGCTACAGCTTAATGGTAAAAAATAGAGCAAGAATAAGATATTATAGAATTGTTTTGATTTTTCCACATCCGTTGTTCTGCTCCTTCTATATACTTCTGTTCTAATTATGTATGATGAATGGGGCATCAATGCTTATAATTAATAATGCAACAGCGGGGATAAGGTAGTGTTTTCTCTTCGTCTTTTGTTTTAATTTATCACATATGCAGTTTATTTGTATTCTTCTCATTTCCTTCTTTTTATGAAGCATTCGTGACTTAATTCTCACCCATGGATATTGATGGACCTTATAAATTATTCTGTTCATTTTTCCGATGAGCTAGAAAGGTATGGAAGTTTTTGACTAATTTCTTTTTTTCTTTTTACTTAATTTGCGTAAGGTTGTGTATCTATATGCCGTACACGCGCAATGGCTCAATATGAATGGGTGTAAGGTTTAATTAAGGTAAATGAAAAGGACGATCAATTGCATATCTAGCGTAAGCAAAAATAGTTTTGTGTAAACTCACAAATTAAGGGAAAAAAAAGGTAAAAAGAGGAAAATATGATTCTTATTATTTGTGTGCTTAGCTCCGTAGGTACAAATGTATATATAGGTCCTAGATTCAGGGTTTAGTCTTTTGCAACATTTCGATTCATGATTCCGAGCTCACACTTCTTCCAGGCTTAGGGTTTGCAGGGTTTAGGGTTCAAGGTTTGCAAGGTTCCTGGTTTAGTGTTGTGAAGTTTCCCGTGTGTTTAGGTTTGTAGGTTTCAGGTTTTAGATTTTTAAGTTCCTGTTTTATCTTGGGAAGGTTCCGGATTTTAGATTGTGGAGCTTGCCGGGTTTAGGATTTAGTTTGCTGCATTTAGAACTGAGTGTTCCGGGTTAAGGGTGTAGAGTTTCAGCGGTAAGGGCTTCAGCACTTAGGGTGTTAGTGTTCTAGGGTTTATAGTTTCATGTGATTAGCTTTTAGGGCGTTAGCATTTATGTGCTCATGGCATAGGCTGCATTTTTGCGCTATTATGCTGTGCGTTGGCCAGGAGAGTTGGGCGTGTATTATTCTATACCCTGCTCCGTAATCAAATAAATTATCTAGTGAAGACATACATCAAAATGCCGGTGCTTGTACATATTTATCTTTGCGTTAACCGTAAGCATAATTAATTTTTTTTGCCTGAAGTAATGAATAAAACGCTACTACAAATGAAGGACAATGTTCTTTTTGTGTATCCTGGATGCACGTTATGAACAGTTGCGACTATAACACATTTACGTCTGAAAACGCAAGTGCTCATTTGAATTCTCTATATTTAGTTTAATAATAAGGGTACATTAATTATATAAAGAAACACAAGAAACGTCAAATAATAAGATGCACACTTATCTAATATTATGTAAGAAATATAATTGCTTATATGTATTGTATAAAGAAGCATATACTTCCTATATCTTAGCATCGGTTCTAAGAAGATTGACAACAGTAAGTTAACAAAATGGATTATTCGAATGCTTAATTCAAAAAAAATGCGTTCTTAACATGTGCAAGTCGATATGCAATGATTTGATAAGACAACAAATGAATGCTCCCCCATTCAGCACATTGATAAAAGTATAAAATGTATCAAAAACTGTTGAGAACAACTATTTATACAAATCGGAGCACGCTGAATTACACGTAGCTCACATTTTTAAAGTTTTATGATAGAAAAAATAATGTTATATTTTGGAAAAATTTAACACGCGCGATGGGTAAGCAAACGCGGACGTATCACCCCATTTGAACAAACGATCTGGGAGGGAACAACAACAAGAAGATAAAGAAGTGGTCGCTCTCTCACATTTGTTCATAAAAAAAAATTGTGAACACTTGGTAGGGAGCACGAAGAAATTCCAAAGTGGGAAGGAAAAGTTGAATACGGGGTGAGCACATCATCAAATTGGCAATGGCTCATTTCATAAATCCCCGTCAAAGAAGTTGAGGGAGGCATCCTTAACCTTCATTGTCTCCTGTCCACTTAGTACTTTTGGCAGCGCATCATGACAAAGTTGGAGGCGTCGGTAAACTCGGAAAACTTTGCCTCATATAGGTCCTGACTTAAGTTGAGAAAGGGGCTTACAAAGTAATGACTTGGGGGGGTGAATAATTGTATGTCGTAATTTGCGTCTTTTAATTGACTAATGAATTCCTGTGACCCATCTCTATTCTTTCTACACACATAGAGAAAAATGCCATTTGTTTTCAAAGTTAAGTTAATTATATGCACAAGTGATGGCACAATTTTTTTATCGTATACTAAATCACTCCCAATAATGTAATCATATGTGACAATTTGTTCATTCTCACGTGGGTAGGTATTTTCATCTGTCCAATCAATGCTGCATATTTTTACTTTACTTCTCCATGCTGCATCCAGTTTGCCAAAAAGTTCTTCGTTTAATAGGACATTATGCGAAATGTTACTTAAGGTGAATGGGTTGATATCGGTAATAACTACTTTGTCCGGCCCTTGATCAGTTCCGTTGCGAAAAATGTTCGCGTGGGTGAATAGTGAAATGCTGGCTAGTCCACTCCCTGCCCCGAGTTCTAGGACCGCTTTGTTGCTAAAAAGAGTGCTATCCTGGAGACACAAGTCGGAGATCCATTTACTTATCATGAGGCAGCACTCCCAAATGTTAATCCCGGTAATGTCCTTATGCGAATGAACCTCCTCCTCTGTTGTTTTGCTATCTTCAAATGTATTTCCAAAATAATTTAGCCCAATTTCTCTTATTCGTATAACGGCCTCTTCTTCGCTCTCCCCGTTCTTTATTTTTGCCCTCTCGTTGATGAGCATCTGATGCGTGCACTCTTGAATTATTTTGGCTTCTCCCAGGTTTGTCGTGAAGGCTGTGCCATTGTGGCCATTAGCTGCGCTGTCTTCACGGTTAGCTACGCCGCTTACGCCACTCACCGTGCACCCATCCTGCTCGTCCAGAACACTCGACATGGGGTGGCTCAGAACGAGGTGCAAAATATTTTCGTCCTGGGCGTTGAAAGCCTCCGACAGAATGCTCTTGTTGAATTCGTTTTTCTTCAGTAGGTCGATTTTGTTGGATTCCTTGTATAGGTGTATTCGCTTCGCCCATGTTTCTCCCTGGCCGCTTAAAATAGCACCCCCGATACCTTCCCTCCTGTCGCCATTGCATAAGCTGGCATCATGATGATCAGAGAAAATACTCCCGAAAAAATTCATGGAGTTTATTTTATTTTTGACATGAGCACTCAGCTGGTATTCGTCCTTGACGCGAGAAATTTCAAAAAAATCTTTCTTCATATGTTCATACAGTTCGTTGTTCTTTCCTTCCACTCTGGTATATTCTTTGCTATATAAAATGTAGTCGAACAGTAGCACTTCTTTCACAGCTTCATAATGCTTATTCTGTATGGCCCACATTAGGGGGCTATTTCTACTGGCATTTAGTTGGTTATGTCCAATTGCGCATTCGTATAGCAGAAAGCGAATCATGTCCACATTATTATTTGCGCAGGCAAAATGTAGGAGTGTGTTTTCATTTTCGTCCTTCACATTGTTAATTGAGCTTATTCTTCCATGTTCAAGGATTTTTTTAACTTCTAAAACGTCGTCCGTCCTTACGTAATAAATCAGGTCTTCGACCTCATCATCCAGGGTACTGTTGTTGTTATCCTCTGGGGGGATATTTTGATATTTTCCTTCCGTCATCATGATCATCTTTTTTGTAGTGAATTTTCGGGGGACGTGCGGTGAATGTCGTCCGCACTGTGTCCTCCAGAGTGTTTTACTTTGTCGCGACGGTGATGCGGACGCATACGTAGCATGAGTTCTAATGCTCGAAATTGTTGTTAATCTTCGCTGCGCTCTGTAAAGACCAAAGGGCGGCCCGTCCAAAGCGTTATGCCTTAGTCAATGTTAGGGGGTTCTAATATGACAGGAAGGTACAGAAAAGGGAAAAATACGAAAATAAGAAAATAAGAAAATAAGAACGTACTAACATATTAACGTATGCAAGTTTGAAACAAAAAAGTCATGAGAAGTATAATGCCACCAAGCTCCATGTTGCGCCGTAATGCTTTTGACAACCTCGCGCAAGTGCAGGATGATACGCGCATCGTAGTTGTTGCTCCCTGCTGTACGTTATTGATGCGCAAACTGATTAGCATATTTTTCCTCAATATGTTTTTCCCTTAATATAATGGTATACTTCGAAAACAGGGAATTTAAATTCGATCCGTTTTGTAGAAGTAACGCCGTTTTGTCATTTCTAAATTATGTTCTTTTTTTTTTTGTTATATATATAAAAATACTTCTTCGAATATGGTCAGCACCCTTTTTTTTTTTTTTTCTCGGGGTGAATTTTTCTTTTTTTTTTCTATGTGGCGGTGAAAAGAAGAAAAAGAAGGTTCACATGTGAAGAGAAAATGTTCCACTTTGCTGCCATTACCAATTTGTGCAAGAGCATAAGTGAAGCAAAAATTTAGTGGTAAGGAGATAAACTTTGTATGTACGTTAAGTAAAATAATAACTGCTACACGTCCGCGTAAATGATACTCGGCCACATACGGTACACAAGTTAAAGAAATAGCCTCCCCGTTACCAGAAAATAAAATAGAAAAAAAAAAAAAAAAAGGTGTGAGAGGAATGTATAGCCCTCAATATAGTTGGAATAAGCAAACAGGAAAAAGGAGAATGATTCAAGTGCGCATATTGGGGAAAGCAATATAAAGGCGACGTAATACACCTAACACAGCATAGTCCTTTTAGCGGAAATCGCTGAACGCGGCACTTCCGAGATTGTTGCAGAGGCCGTAGAAACGACGATCAACCGTGTGCCCAACGAAGGGATAACCAAATGGCTAAGCAAGTGTACGACCGGTCGAACTCGTGCGTATGCAAAAGTTAAGAGGCGAATATTGCACACCCATATATATAAGAAGCCATTTCTGAACCCTCAAACTGGACCTCTCCTGGTGAAACGCCCCCACCAAAATGGACTTAAACAATTTCCGCTTCTTCCTTTTAAGGGGAAATATAAGCCACTGTGAGCATGCGCCAAAAAGTGAACATGTGCAAAAAATGGATAATGCACTGCCCCCCCTTGATGATACCAATGAAGAGAAAAACAACGACTCCATTCTTGACGTGATAAAAAAAATACCCATAAACCCATTCATCGACAGCAATGAAGATTTGAATAAATATAAATATGGCGTGGAGAAAAAGAAAATTCAAAGATACACCGGCGTCCAAGTATACGAAGAGGAAGATAAAGATCACAAAAAAAATCAACCCATAGATTACCCATTTCCTGTTAGTAAAAGTGTTATTTTCGAAAAGAACAAAGTAAACAAATCGGAGGATCGCATAAACATAAATTACAGTAACATAGCCAGTGATTTATACCCAGAGGAAGGATTTAAGACTCCAAACAGAAAAAAGCATTTTTCCTCAGACTGGGAAATGCTATTAGCATATAATCATGGGCTGTACAATTTTAAAAACACAGACCATAACACTATCGTTAACAAAGACATGTATGCTTTAAATACTGAAAATGACATAAGGAATAAGCTAAATTTGTACACAGAAAGAATAAATGTTGATAACCCTAATGATGCTTGCAAGTATTTGGCCATAGAGGAGTATAAATGCTTGTTAACTCATTCCTTCCACATGAACCCTGATGTCAGCAACCAAAAATGTGTTAAGTGGTTTAATGAATACATGCAGTGTAAGTGGGACGAGCATAAGCTAAATTATGGCTATAACTATATTGAGAATAGGAGAAATAAAAAGTCCAAGGCGTATATTGCAGCCCCCGATTATCAGTACTCCTAAAGGGGACCATCGGAATGTTAAGGCAAAACGAAGAAAGAGGGGGCATTGCATGGGGGCAGCAACAGTAACCATTCTTTTTTTCTTCTTCTTTTTTGGCACACACGGAACAATAAAATACGCACAGTACTATGTTCCGGAAGTAACAAACGTGCCTTTTGTATTCGTTAGGAAGAATATAACAAAATGAACGTCCCATGAGGGCGCGTCCATTGTACATTCTAAACGAATAATTCCGCTAAGTAGCGTGACTTGCACATTCTCCTATGTGTACTTGCCCAACGTGGATAAACAGGAAATATGCGTACTCCCTCAAACTTTAACCACCACAAGAAATGTTAACTTGTTCGGATTAGCCAACGGGAAGCGCGCGTTGCAATCCAGATGGTTTCTGTCGCGTAGGAGTAGCTAATGAAGAGAGGGTGAAGTAGGGACACAATATGAGACAATGAGCAACAACAGCGGAATGATGTACAAAATGTGCTGTGCCTAGTGAGGGGACAGACATTTTGCGACATTGTTATTTTTTCCTATTTCATTTTTTTTTTTTTTTTTTTTTTTTTTTTTTTTTTTTTTTTTTTTTTTGTTCATATTTTTTGAACAGCTAGCTAAAATGCAATAAAAATATCACTTTATTTCGTCGAAATGTAAAAAAAAAAAAAAAAAAACACACACATGTATATATTTGTGTATACACCATTTGGTCTTATTTTTCAATTGACGGGCGAGCAAATTCCCCCTTTATGCTCCGGCCACTCGCGTGTATATACAAGTATAAGTATAAATTGCTGCCATCACAATTTGGCAACTGCAGTGTAAGCCAACGTCTGTTCGCATATTTGTGCATGTCAATTACATTTTGTTGAGGCCAGAGGAGAAAATTGAGAGCGCAATTGTTCTCCTTTCTGCATGTGACATGGTGAAATTTACTTGTCCCACAGGGGCATCTTTCGTGTGGTTCACCTTTCACTGCGCATGCTACATGTGTACATATGACATGGTGGTAAGGGGTGCGAACGTGCTAAAACGTAGTGTGCCATCACGCGGGGACTGCGCCTCCTCTTTTCTGTTGGTCAGTGCGAGACGCAACATAATGAGAGTCGTGCGCACGGGCCTCAAAAATGGCATTGAAAGTCCCAGCATGCATCAGCCGCGCGTTTCACATAAACGACATGATTGTTGCCAGTCGGCCCTTGCCTCAATTTGTCCGCCGTCATTTTGCAGCATGTCCCAAATTCTTTAGCAGTGTGTTACAATTTTTAGCGTCTTTTTCGCTTTTTATTCGCATTTTTCTCGTACTTTTCCTCAATATTTCTCCATCCACTTCATCATTTTGTTTAACCGTTTCCCCTGTATGTGCACATTTTGCGTACCCACGCGCTCTTATGAGGTAGCTCTTTGACAACCCATTTTCATGGCCATCACCTGGAAATTTATTTGAGTAAGTGTTTCATAAGTTCAATTCGTTTTTAAGAGAATCATTCTGAATGCAGACTTCATTTAGCATTCATGTATTGCCCAATTTTTATTTATCCCAATTTTTTCTTCTTTTTTTTTTCCCTCCCATGCTTTTTGGACGTGCACAAACATGTACGTAACACTGACTGTGAGTGTAGTATGTACTTTTTTTTGAACATAAATTTTTGACCGATAATTAAAAAAATTTTCTTCCTTTTTCAAATTACTTCGTAGTTGTGGGAAGCGGCGCGTCTGCGTAATGTCTTTTCCATTTGTGTTCTTGCATACGTGGATATGCATTGCTGTGTATTGTTATGCGTATTATTACTACGTATATGTAACTGTGCATACACCCCTCCTTTGTTTTGTTCCTTAATCACACCAGCACAAATTTGTGTAATTATTAGAGCGAATTCCCCATTCGCTGTAACATATATGTGTGCGCTACCGAAATTGTACCATTCCCCTTTGTTCGTGTGTAATTATTTCTTTACTCCCCTATGCAGTGTGACAAGCGGGATTCGTTGCTGTTCCATAGCGAGGGAATCTATTTGAACTTGCTGCTTCGGTTCCTTCCGGTGTTTCCGTTTAGCAATTACCTTCTTTGCAAGCACAAATTTTTGCACGCGCTTCGCTATATGCTCATGTCGGTGAAATTAAAAACTTCAGGAAGTTGAGTTTGCGCTTGAATCGTGCTATCTTTCAACTTGACCCTGTCTTCGTGTAAGTATTTGTGACGACTTATTTGTTGAAGCGGACAAAGGAACCATTCCCTATACTTTTAACAACGCATGTAAGTGTGTGTACATGTTAGAGCCCAATTGAGGTAGACACTGAAATGAATGAATACATATCAACATTACAAACGCACAGACACGAAGTAGAGGTTACCCCACTGATAGTTCCCATTTTGTGTCTTTTCCTTTTTCTTCCCCCCATTTGGGTAGCACTGCACAGTGAGGGCCGCATCTACTCCTAACTTCACGTAGGTGTACACTCCAACATAGAAGCTAGTTAATGAAAAATGCATCTGGACAAGGAAGACAACTACATTATAGATAAGAAAAAGATCGAGAGTGTGAACAAATATATTTATACGAAGTTTCCCACATTTGAACTTCACAAGAAAGTAAAAAATTACAACAATAAGATATCCGAATTGATGATAGAAAATGAAAAGTTAAAAAAGTATAAAAGTAATTTGGAGAAAAGGATAATAAGAGGTAACGAAAATTTTGAAGTCAATTTTATGAAGTATGAGCTAGCCATTTCGAATGCGTTACGTATTGGCTATTCATGCATATACCTATGCAACGCACTAAATAAAATTATAGACAGGTATAAGATAAGCGTCCTAAGGGAGCTACACAGAAGAAGAGATCAATTCAAAAACAATCTCATAAAATCTTACATGAATAAAAACTCGTACGATAAGTTATTCATAAATAGTATGGTTATGAAGATAGAGGGGGTATACCAAAGGAACAGGAACTTTGTCACTATCGTTTTGGTAATCTTGGTGAAGAATAAGTTGAGAGATATTTTCAAATTTTTCGTCTGCAATGTTTTGGGGATTCCCACTGGGGGTTCCTATACCTTGAATGGTTTGTCCTTTGGCAAAGGAAATTCGAACAGAGCGACATCGTCTAGAAGGGGGAATGACCGCTATGTGCAGCTGACCATGGATGCAAGAATCCAGTACACATCCGGGTTTATAAAATTAATGGACGTTTTAAAAAGTACAGTGTACGGAACAGTTAGAGTTTACTTCATCATCTTGAAGAGGCATAATGATGAATACGATTTGTATGCACGTGGTGTGTGGAAGTCCTTCCCACTTAGCAAAAGCGAGAGAATTGAGTTTTCCACGAACAGTGGAGACGCGAATACAGATGCAGTCCAAAATTGTGGAAAACAAAAGGGTAAAAGTCGGAATGATAAACTATTTAGGAGTTATGACTCTTTGGTGGGCAATAAATTAATTGCCAGAGGGGACATCCAGGATGATAAGTCTAACTTAGAATATAACCGCTCCAGCAATAGCATCTACTTGCCCCACCCGAGTGACGTGTACAATTATTTGTACTACCAGGAACTGCTAAACATTAAGGACAAGTTATCAGCCAGACTTATGGATGATGAAAACAGCGATTTAGTAAACTATATCAAATTTATGGAGACAAACGGGGAAGTATACTGTTTGAGGGGAAATGGGAAGGACAGGGATTCATCGGTTGTGAATGCAACCAATAAGAGCAGCGCTATAGGGAACTCGCCTATACAAAGTTGGTTACCACAGAGTAATAAGTGCCCACGCACGCGGGCAAAAGAAATAGCTTCCCCGTTCTCTGATCAAGTGACCACGGTGCCAAATGATACCAACCTCGGTTTTCATGACAGGGGGCGTGGCGACGTCCACAGGGGCAGAGTTGTTAGTTTTTCCTTATCAGATGAAGGGGGTAATCCAAATGTAGATAACAGTTTTTATGAGCAGAAAAAAAGAGTCGGATTTAATATAAAGGAGAAGGTAAATTATGCTGACTTAGAAGGTTTGCGGAGATATGGGTTTAATGGGGAGGAAGACAATATTCTGAACGGGCCAGGCGAAAATAGTGGTGGGGTTCAATTTATGGCTCGCGAGGAGGGGTACTCTCCGCCGCTGAGGGAGGGAGAAGTGGATGACGGGTATTACGCCGCAGACGGGAATTACACTGTCGACGAAAACATCAAAACGATGGTCTCGTTCAGCGACATGGAAAACAATTTCAGGAGCATAATGTCGAAGGCCAGCGAGGGTAATGAGAATGTCCCCGAGGATGAGGCCTATGAGGGCAATCAAAATTTGTGTGAACAAAGTGTTGTCAACATAAAGCATGGGTTGAGTAGAGTCCAGGACAAGAATTTTATATGGCTTGTAGGTGAAGGCCCACCGGATGATATCGAAGTCAACCGTATGGGTCAATATTATTTTGGGGAGGATGAGGGGTATGGTATGGAAGTGGGGTAAGTCACGCACAATATTGTGCGCCATTAGGAAATGAAGAAGGTGTACCGAGGTTGGCAAAGCATTTGAGACGTTGGTGGTGATGGTCGCGGGGTGACAACGCGTAAGATCACATCTTTCAAGGTTCCTATAATTTTTTTCCTTCCCCTTTTTTTGCATTTTTTATTGATTACTTTTCAAGCGCCTTACAAATGTAGTCACGAAGCTGTGGTGGGCTTCTTCCGATTGCGTAACATGAAGGGTTACAATCGAGTTATCTCCGGACTGCAATATCGGGGGGAATTTCGCTCACCCTTGGGTAGTGTGCGAATGTATGTACATTGGAAGGACACACACAAGCGAGGGAGGGCTGCGTCCGTCGGTATTTTTGCCCCTCGGCCATCCCCCGTTTAACATGTTACTCCTCTTTTCCTTTTCTTATGATGTTTGCCGTATTTTTTATTACACATGTATGTGAGTGCCTCTGACCGTTTTTTTTTTCCACCAACTTGTTCGAGTGGTGACACCTGTGGTAAATGAGCTATCATTTGGCTCATGCAGTTTGGATGCGCAATTTTGCGTTTCACTCCAAGGAACTTCACTTCATTGCGGTCATGGGCATGGTAACGTAGAAGTGAAACCGCCCTTAGTGGGGAAAAAATTATATTTTTTTTTAAATTCGCAACCGGAGTGTGTACGTTAAGAGGTGCAAAATTAACACTCAGATGGGACGAACTTTAACTGAATGGAAGATATGACAAAATTAAGTCTAATAAAAAAAAAAAAAAAAAAAAAAGGCGCTTCCGGTAGATGTACTACAAGCGAAGCTGCAAAAGCGTGTGATCCATTTTGTGAAGTAGTATAGGGGACGGTCTGCTTGTCCTTTTGTTAATTTTTTTTTTTCGTTGCGCAGTATACATTTGGGGTAAGCTAAGAAAGGACAAAGCCCGTGCGGCGGGGAAGTAGCAGCATATCGACTTGGCAGTCTCGCTTTGCAGTTGTGGTAGCGGTATGCGTTCATCACTTGCGCGAACCCTTTGTGTGCTCTTGTACATAGTCAGCCTTTGCAGGTGCTTCTTCCCTATCTCCGGAGGGCAACCCAGAGGGACGCACAGACGGGGCGGACACCCAAGTGAAGGACAAAAGCCAATGCGAAGTGTTCTGAGGAAGGAAATAATCACACATTTGTGTAACAAAATAAGATGTGCAAATCATATACAATGGTATGAAGGTAGAAGGCGAATAAGTAGTGCCACCGCGAACATTGGGAAGAGGAATTGTCTGAGTAGCCGTCTGTTCAGTTCATTCGAAACAAAAATACCTGGAAGTCAAGTAGAACAAGTAGTCGACGGAATAGCATTCACCATTTATGATAATACAAATATATTCAAGGAAGAGACCAGTAGCACCCCGATAGTGTTAATTCATGGGTGCTATGGAAGCAAAACTAACTTTCGTGTTTTTAGCAAAAGTTTAAAAAGCAGTAAAATTGTAACCCTTGACTTACGGAACCATGGCAACTCAAAACATACAGATAGTATGAAATATGAAGAAATGGAAAATGACGTAAAAAAAGTTTTGGATAAACTTCACATTAGGAAATGCTGCCTAGTTGGTTTTAGTTTAGGTGGGAAGGTATCCATGTACTGTGCGCTAAAAAACGAGTCTCTTTTTTCTCACCTAGTGGTGATGGACATCCTCCCCTTTGACTACAATGAGAAGAAATGCCATGTGAAGCTTCCTTACAATATTAGTTACATGACGAAGATTCTCTTTAACATTAAGACGAAGCTGCGTCCGAGAAGCAAAGCCCAGTTTGTGGCCCACCTCCGAGCACAGGTCCCGGACATATCCAGGTCCTTCGAGCAGTTCATCTGCACGTCGCTTAGAGAAGAAAGGGCAATAGTGGGCAATGCAGCTGCAGTGGTGGATAAGCCGAAGGGTGGGGTGAACCTCGTTGATGCTTCGAACATTAGTGGCGTGGACGCGATTGGCAGTTCCGAGGACCCTCCCGCCGAACAGCAAAACCTCGTGTGGAAAATTAACGTGGACACCATATTCAAAGAACTCCCACACATTCTCAGCTTCCCACTAAATCACCAAGAGCACAAATATAACAACCCTTGTAGTTTTATCATTGGCAAGAAGTCAGATTTAGTCTATACCATGCCGCAGTACCAATCAATTATACAGAATTACTTTCCCTCCAGCCAGAATTTTATTTTACCTGATGCGACTCATACTGTTTATATTGACAATGCAAAGGAGTGTGCTGATATTGTTAATAGGACATTGGGCGTGTGATTTTTTTTTTTTTTTTTTTCTCTTTATTGTGTTGGTTGCCCCCTCGTGTGGTAATTATACGCGGTAGAACGTTCCATCATCGGGGGGAACCCGCCGCTTAATGAGAACCCCGTTAGTGCGAATATGGCATTCACATCGATGATGTGGTTTGAACATAGCTCCGTAGGTATCGCTTTATTATTATTATTATTATATATTTTTTGTTTTCCAAATTTGCAAATATGTAAGCGCTGTGTAGATATGAACACATATACATGTGTATTTGCTCTTTGAGTGGTACCACCCTGGTCCTCCATCACAAGATAGGGGGGGAGGTGCCCCTTGGATGAACCACCTGTATCTGTTTCTCATGGTCCCATTTGCGCCTCTTGTCCCTTTCACCCATGAGTGGCAACAAGGGGAGTGTGCGAAAATATGTGCAACTCAGTCTTTACGAGGCTCCTTTGATTGCAGATTTTAAGTTTTTACCTTAAAAAAAATGGCAACACTGTGATGCTGTGAGGTGGTAGCATTGTGCCATGGTAACATGGTGACATGGTGACATGGGCACGTGAAATGACTGCAGGATTGGAGGAACAATGGGAAGGAGCGGGGCAGTGCGTCCCCACGACAATATAGAAACAACAACAAGGGCACAGGGCCGAGGAGGCATGCCCAAGAACAATAGATGAGGAGGGGGAAGAGGTGGTTAAGCGAGTAAGTATGCAAGTGACTGCGTGCACAGAAGCATTACTGTGCAGATGTGTAAATGTATACTTGCACACACACGAAACAACTTAATTGGGTGAACTGGGAAACTCTCGCGTATGTAAAAAAGGGAGTAAATGGAAATATATATATATATATATATATACATATATATATGTATGTGTATGTATGTATGTATGTATGGGTGCGTAACTTTGCATGCCGGAATGGCTCCTCTTTGCCGGTTGCACGTGAGTCGGCTCTCCCAGTTACACACACGCGGACGCAGGGGAGCGTTATAGAGCAGAGTCAGCCACTCATTTCTTCGGAATAACAAAGAAAGCATTTTCATGTTGAGTGAAATGAAGAGGGGTGTACACTTCGTCGCGGGCACGTGGGGACTTTGAACTAGGGGGAGAGGAGTGGGCTAACACACACGAAGGATTGATACGACCATCGCGTGGTTCCTTTCCCACGTCCAAGAGTACTCATTTTTTTTCTTTTTTTTTGTTCCCAAGTTGATATGCACAAGTTAGACTACATACCAGTGTTCATATTTCCATCTGCTTTATTTACCAACTTTACAGGGCAAAAAAAAAAAAAATAAAATAAGTACCCGTGCCTTCACCCTGAGGTAAACGTGCCATGGCTCTCTAGATATTCCCAAGAAGTACGTTATTGTTTTCACTTACAATTGAACTGTTAAAGGTGAGGTTGTTATGAACACTGTTGCTTCCATCGGCGTCCTTATTCTTGCGGCAATTTTTCCCAAATATGGTTTGGCCTTTAACTTTGGAGAGTCTAACTTTGATTGCCCAGAATTTAGACTTATAAAAACCATGTGTTTTTGCAGAGAAGGATTTATAATAACGCTTCCCATTGTCATACCAGGAAGCAATCCAGCTCCTCTTGTCCCAATAAACTCCTGCGACATCACATTTCAGATCATCAGGGTTCTCGAGGTTAGGCCCTTCTTTATCGGATAACTCCAAGAGGTACTCAAATTCGCTTTCATTTTTTATAATTTTACTACTAGGTCTATTGACCGTGCCATATTTTTTTATATTTCTTTTTTCTACACTTTTGCTGTTATTGGCTGTGTTTTTTTTGCCTCCTTTTTTTCTCTTAGTCGTATTTGCTGATGCGTCGTTTGCGTTTTTGGACCTGTCATTATTTTCATTCTTCACATATTGCATTAATCCATTTGCGTTTAAATTATTGGCCATGGATAGACAGTCTCCGTTTCGGGGGGGCATGTCGTTACTGCTGTTGTTTATAACTGCTGGGATGCCTCTGCTGAAGGGTGCGGCGCCGCGGTGGCCACAGTTACCGTGGTTTACTCGCTCTGTGCCATCTCCGTGTCCTTTGTACTGCGGAAGCGCGTTGTAGAGTTCGACCTTGAATCTGTCATTCACTCGTGGGTCGGCTTTACCGTACGCGTGCAGCAATTCTAAGGCGTCCTTTGAAATACCACCAGGTAAGACTGCAATGTTGTTCTTCATGCCATTCTTTTCTCTGTCATAGAGGAGGGCATTATCATGTAGAGCACTGCTATTTCCATGGTTGTACAATTCCCTCTGGAGAGCACACTCCTGTTGTATTCTCCTGCCATCCCTTCCATTTTCGTTCTTCGTTTGGATTCTCCTTAAATGATCGTCACAAGCTGAGTACACATGGGCCAAATCCTTTACACATTGATTGTTGCCGTTTATGTTATTCATTCCGTACATGCGTCTAAGATCTTTGCAATTATTTTTTACATGTACAGGAAGACCATTATCGAAGTTATCCTGGACGAAGTGGTCATGTCTTTTCATCGCTCCTTCGTTGTTGTTACCCACGTGTGTAACTGCATACCTGTAATTGCTATTGCCGCTGCTGTGACTGCTGTTTAGGTCATTATAAATGCTGGGTGGTACAGTTGCAGAGACCCCACCAGGAACTTTGTCCACTTGATTACTCTGCGACAACATTTTCAAATTGTTGCTGTTCTGAAATGCACTTTTCAAATCGTACACACTGGGGTTGCCGTTACTCTCCCATATGTGCATGGAGTGAGGATAATCCGAGTTCAATTTACAGCAGAGGTCGTCCAATTTTACACACACTGTGTATATCGTGTCGAACCACTGACTGTACTTGTCGTCCGTGAAATCTACGTTACTGCAGCTGTCTACTTCTTTGTTGTTGCTATGCATAGAATGGTTGTTCAGACCGTTGTTATATGCTCCGTTTACTTCACAGTGATTCCCCAGGCTGTCGTTATGTGCGCAACTAATTAGACTTTGCTGATCCTGGAAACCCATGATCCTTTGCAGGTCTATTTGCTCTTTAAAACTACTACCATTCATCTCGCTCTGAGGGTTGTGGTTGTACAGCACGTGGTGTGGATGATACACGTCGTCGCGAGTGCTTTCTTCGTTCACGTCTTCCATGTGGTGCATGCCGTTTCTACCATTCATGCGGGCCACGCCGTCCATGTCTTCCATACCGCTCACTACGCCAACCCCCTTCATGCCGCTCATGCCTCCAAGCAATTCTCCCATGGCCTCATGCTCATTCAGCTTTTGAAGTAAAATGTCCTTACGCACACTCCCTACATCCTCACTATGCATGCAGCTGATGGTGGTGTCCAGATTTACGTTTTTCCCCAATCGATCATTATTCACCTGAACAACATTTGGCTTATGGATACTGCTGATGACTGCATCTTGGGTAATTTTTTTAAGAATCATTTCTTTGTTCCTTTCCATGGACATGTTAGTGTCTTCCATCATATCATTAACGATCGTATCTTGACTAACTTCTCTCATCACCATGTCGTTGTTGCTATATTCGATGTGCTCGTTTTCATTGTCCTGAATGATGGTGTCTTCACTTACTTTTTTTTTAATCATTTGCTTGGGGATGGTGTCTATAGGAAGTTCCCTGTGTACCGGATTGCCCGTCTTCATTTGTTCGTTCAGGAAATTCTGCAGCTGCTGTCCGTTCATGAGGATACCCGTGTCCTGGTCGCTCACACCGTTTACGCCGCTTCCACTACGTTGGCTAGTTCCGGTGTTTGCACTGCTTAGGTGATTCCCACTGTGGTGGGCGTTTGCCACACCTGCTGTTTTGAGACTTGTCACATGAGTCCCCCGAGCCAGGTCACCATTGATGATTTCATTCTTGTCATAGGGTAAGTGTACCTTCAGCTCCTCTCCTTGGGCCTCTGAACCTAGGGTACATATGTCTATGTGATCATTTAGGGTAGTACCGTTTTCTAGATTTTCCATCAGAGGCTCCTTCTGCAAATTGCTGGCTCCTACAAGTTCGACACTGCTGTGGTGTTTTGTCGAAAATGTGTTTGTCCCTTGGTCCATAGGGAAAGGTTGATTGTCGGACGGGTACCTCTCTTCGTGCTGCGACGGGAACTGCTTCGAGTTTTGCATCTGCTTATCGTGCAGTCCCTGGTTCAGGTTTTCCAATGGCACCTCGTTGAAGCTCATGCTGCTCCTAACTGGTGTAGAAGTGGTGGTGGAGTTTGGCGCGTGCGCGGTTTGTTCCATCAATGTGTGAAGTGCGACTTGCGCGTTTTTCGAGGTTTGTGTGGTTTGCGTTCTTGGTGTGCCTTTTTGGCCTTTGGAATTTTTCTCACTGGAAGTGATTTTTTCGTTCCTTTGGTTCTTTTCCAAGTTTGGGTTCTTTTCGATTTTAAATTTTTCTGTTTTTTTTTCAGCCTCTACAGTTATTTCGCGTTCTACAGGTAATTTGTGCTCTGTTTTATTTTCGCTTTCAAGGTTGTGTACAATTGTTTGGTTCCTTAATTTTTTTTCTTTTTCTCTCCTATCTATGTTTGTTTCATCTTCTCCATCTTTTCCATTTTTTTCCCGCCTCGGTAATTTCCCTTCAGCGTTATGCACATAAAAAGGTGTAGGCAATTTTGTTAAGGGTGCATGCGCATGGGCGATCTCATTCGGTGGAGAGGTTCCACTTTCTGCATGCATTTCTGGGGGCATAGAATCCATTTTGCATTTTAGTGAAGTAGGCAATGTGTCAGGTTTTTGTAGTCTTGCTAGATCCTGTATTTTGTCGCATGCATTTTCCTGTGCGTTACAAGTAGTACACACATTCGGCGGGGCGCTTGTACGCACGGTCCCGTTTGGAAGGGCACTGTCGCTTGGGTGCGCAATGTCGCCTGACTGTAATGTGTCGCTTGGTGCTTCCCTTTCTGCAGTGCCTTCTTCACGGGGCACACCTTCCTTTCCTTGGGCAGCTATAAATTCGCTAGATGGCATGGACTCAGATTCATTTATATTTGGCTTGTAGGACCCTTGCACATTTGCTTCTGCCCCATCAAACCCTAGTGCACCGCGTGAGGGAGATCTCATTTTGCTTGCCTCAAATTCGGCAGCATCACAGTTTCCACGTCCTTCGTGGTCACACGTTAAGGTATTATTAACGGGGCCATAAAAATTAATTTTTTTCTTGGCATTACTTAAATGAGAATCATCTCCTACCTCTGTAATGTCTCTTTTTTTTTTGTATTCATGTTGAGTTATTTCACAATTGACCGATGTTTTACTATCCATTTGGATTTGGTCCGCAGCTCTTGCGCTGCTTCCAATGCTTTCACTACTTCTACTGGCATCAGTGCCCAGACTTGTATTATTTATTGCATCATCAGATGGGGCGCTCACTCTTGGCTCATTTCCCTTGCCTAGTACCTCGTCATTATTTTTATATTTTTCATTTTGCTCCTCCTGATAGGGCGGTAAATTTGCGTTATCAGCATCGCAGTAATCACCACGTGGATCCTCCCCCACAAACGATTCACCTGTCACAGATACTTTCCTAATACCTTCCACCTGTGCAGCTTCCCTTTCTCGTTTTCCAAAATGTGTATAATCATTGACATCGCTCGAATGGCTTTTTTCTGAGCAGTGATTTTCTCTCTGCGTGGGTTGAGTAATTTCCTTTGTTGTTTTTCTATACTCTCCTTGGAGGCTACATTTGGCACGTCCATCCGTTTGTTTCTCTTCGATTTGGAGTTGGCTGCTCGTGTGGTTCCCAGCTTTTTCGTTTTGTTCGTCGTGCAAATTATTTTGGTTCACTTTGACGGATTGCTGGGCTGCTACTGGGGGTGCGGCCTCACTCGGGTTAGCTCCGTGATCATTTATGTGGTTACCAGGGTGATCATTCATAAGTCCATTTTGGTAGTCACTTGCTTGCCCATTTCCTTGGTCATGTCCTCCCGCACGAATGCCTGCGTCACCCTGATCTCGCTCAACATTTTGAGGAGGACCTTCCATGCCACTCAACGCCGAGTTCGCCAAAGTATTCAAGCACGAGTCGTGCCTCTCAAGGCTTATGTCATTGTTTGCACTCACTTGTTCACACATGCGGCTTTCCTTGTCCAGGCTATCGTTCGAGTGGCTAGATTCTCGCGCAGACCCCTGTTGGATGGCTTCCAAATATAAACTAGCCGCTTCCCCCAAATTAGTAACATCACTGTAACATCCCTCTGTCTGTAGCCCTTCAATTCTGCATTCATATGTGGAGTCTTCCACTGGTAGATCCCTGTTAGTGTCCTTCATATTTGTTTCCTGTGTCTCGCCTTCTATGCCATTGGTCCAGTTAGATAAGTTATTCATTTTAGTTAGTGTCGGTGTGTATGCTCAGTCGGTCCTCTTTTGCAGTGTCACACATGAGACTTAATCGGAGGAGACATGCACAAGTTATGTGACTGATGGGAGTATAATTTTACTATGATACCTCGTATGTTACTTTTTTTGTCTTCTGTGGTTCACCTGTTTGAAGGGGCCCTTGCGGAGTGGTGCGTGTATGTCCGCCTCTATCTGCCTGTATGAGCGTGTGTGTGGTGATTGTCTCCACGCGGGTACCGACGTGACTCGTCCTTTGATTCTGCCTTTATTCGTTTTTCACTGTGTCTATTATTTTTGTTAACCTTCTTTTACAATGTATCTGTCTTACTCTCCCTCTACAAAGAAAAACCATTAGCTGTCCCAAGTGATTTGTACAAATGGGTACCTTCAATGACCGATTCTGTGGAGGCGGTATATTTTCCAATTCACATGTGGGAGTTATCAAATCGATAATAAGGGGAATAAAGTGTGCAACACTGTACAACAAACGAGAAAAAAAAAAAAAAAAAAAAAAGATGGCTTGACAAATGTAGGTGTATCGAACTAAGATTGTGCCCGTTAAAGAAAACCTAGTTCTACACACATTTGCATGTGAATATGTCTGTTGCGCTGGTCCCTGTTTCGACGACCTTTTATCGTCTCCCCTTATGGCGCCTTTTGAGAGAACTTGCTACAAGGCGTGAAAGCTACAGTACACACATGTGAGTAGGGGCCTCGTGAGGAATGAGGGCTCGTGCGCATGCACATTCGTACGTATGAAAAGATACGCCGTCGTGAGAGTAGACGGTCGCATTCACAAAAAAAGTTTACACATCAAGGTGTGCATATGTAGCTGTCGTCGTAGTTGTAGGCGCAGGCGTACGTGTGTAAGCTTGGGCGTGTGCACATATAAACATACACATTCGCGCACACATACAAGCACAAGGAAAAATAGTTAATTAAAAAATTTTCTCACAACTTCTTTCCCTTCAAGAAGAGGTGTGAAATTACAACAAATTAATTAGTTTTTTTTTTTTTTTTTTTCAAATAAGCAAACTTAATTTTTTATAGCTAATTTAATTAAACCCGACATGTAAAAAAAAAAAAAAAAAAAATTGGGAAAAAAAAAAAAAATATGCAACAAGCTCGACTAATCTATATTTTCACAAGTCATACATTTCGTGCGCGTAAAAATACGAATTGTTTTTTCTTGTCTGTTTATTTTTAAAATGTAGCAGATCATGCAAATGAGAAAAAAAAAAAAAAAAAAAAAAAAAAAAGAAGGGGGAGACAGAGAGGAAAAGAAGGAAATGATCTATTTTAATTAAATTTGAATTTGACTGTGTTTTTAAATCGCAGCAGTCATGTGGGGAGTTATGCATGTGTGTGTATATGCGTATATTCCTACACATACACGTGCGCGGGATTATTGAAAAAGTTACAAATGGGAGGCAGGTGTAGGGGCGAATTAACAAATGGAGAATTGCGAAACGCGTCGACCGGAGCGACAGAAAAGAAGGGCGTAGAAAAAGGACAAATAACAAATGCACAGAACAAGGGTATACAACGACAAGAACAAAGGGCAGCAGAACGCATGTACCAACGAACAACTAGCGTGGAGTGCGTGACAAGCTGATGAATTAACAAACCCGTTGCTACGTGCAAGGGGGAATGCCGTTCAGAATGGTCCTTGAGGGCAAAGTGCTTGCTGCAAATTACATGGAACCACGCAAAAGGGGACACGCAGGGTGGATTCACACAAACGCGCGCGCGAACATAGTGTGTGCAGGTGTAAAAGCATATGCACACGAATGGAAACGCGCAAAAGGAGCACACGGATAAGTACACACTCATAATAAAGGGGTATATAAATATACGGCTCACTTCACTAACCGTAAATGAGTTGGTAAGATTGAAGAAATAAAATCATGACCTTTCAGTTGCGTACATGTTACATGTTGCCAATACTTTTTTTTTTTGTTGTGTACAATATATTAATAAAATAAAATGTGATAAAATGTAATAAAAAAAAAAAAAATGAACAGATTTAACAAATCAGCGAGTTGTGAAAAAATCTTAAAGAAATGGATAATGCGAATAATTCAATCCACACAGGAAAAGTCAATTCATTAATTATACAAATTTGAGATGGATTCAAACGTGAGCATAAGTTCAGGGGTGTGAAGTTCCTTTTTTTCTATTTGCTTATATTTATTTAATTGCACTTAATTGTATATATTAATGTACACTTATGTTTACTTGTTTATCTGTTCTTTATCCGTTTTTTTTTTTTTTTTTTTTTTTTTTCCAATAACTGTATTTTTTGCCGTGGAATCATAGAACGCGAAGTTGAAAAAAAAAAAAAAAAAAAAAAAAAAAAAAAAACAGGTTGCATGGGCAGGTGAGGGTATAAAGCGCAGTAGATGTTTTCTGTGTAACGGAAAAAGGCAGAAAAAGCCATAAGGAATAGCAGGAGAGGTGGAAATATAAGGGGAAATTGGGGGTGTCATCACCGCTCCACACCACCCCGCCTCACGAGTTTCAATTCCGCATGCGTCGCGGGAACTGGCGAGCGCGAATTGTGAATTGTAAATTCCGGGCTACTGTTTTTAGGTTACCTTTTCCCGGTCACACTTTTCACGGCGCGAATTACACTTGAACAGTTTTCCCTTGTTGGCAGATAGGAAGGGCACCACGTGGAAATTGCAACATGGGGGTTTCAAAAATGCGAGTGTTCTCCACAAGGGGCGTCAGCGGCCGTTTAACAGGTTGGAGCTGCCGTGAGAGCTTCGTGTAATTGTGCTTGAGGCATGTTTGCCCGATCTTCCGGGAGCTTCATCACCCCGCCCATTTTACACGTAAATCGAGCGCCGCCCCGCAGAATAAGCCAAAAATTATGACATGGGAAAAACAAAAAAAAAAAAAAAAAAAAGTGGTAACTCAAGTTCGTGCAGTTCATCTCAATTCGCCCAAATTTAATAACACAATTTACACACGGACCAAAAAGAGCTTAACAAAAAAAAAAAAAATAAATAAATAAATGAGTTCTCCCTTTGGGTCATTTCCAGTCACACGTGGAACATGCCCAATTGAAGAGTTATTTCTTTATCTGAGTTCCTACATGCTCCTAGCCATACACGTGTGTAAGCGGTTACCATTTCTGTGCGTACCGTGGTCGGGCCCATACGTGTGGGGCTTAGATAAACGTATACCAGTCGGAAAATGGGTGGTTCCGTTCCCTAGTTGGTTCACGTCGATCATTCTGTTCGTTCTGTTCTGATTTGTTCTATGTTGTTCTACCTTTTTTTTTTTTTTTTTTTTTTTTTTTTTTTTTTTTCGCTTGACTTGCGCGAGGGAAACGAAAAAAAAAAAAAATACGCAGACGTATCAATATACGTCATGTTGTTCCATTTTATACGAATCAATGGTAAGGAAAAAGGACTTTACCCAAATGACCATGGGGTGTGTTATCCTTCGCAGTGGAGTAATGTCCAGGTGTAATAATATCATTCACATGTGCAGACCGAAATGAGCAGAAACCGTCTGAGGATGTCTGTGTGGTACGTGGGGCAATATAAAAACGGGTGATAGTGTTCACTTTCCTAAGGTACTAAAGGAGGGTTACGCATCTGTCGGGGAGTAAAAAAAAATGGGCGCAAATTCACTGTTAAAATGGGACCTAAATGGTAACATAGGAAATTGACTCAATCCCCATGCACCTCGCCTTCGGTGTGCACACATGGGGACGTAACTAGATTCTTCAGTACACAGAGGCATCATTATATTGGCCTCCCTTCAATTTTGTGCGGAAAAGAAAAAGAAAATATATTTTCTGTACTGCTACATATGTGTTGCTCATACACATTTTGCATGCAAGAGGGAGAGGAAAGAAATCCACTTGGCCGGTAAACAAACGGTCGAGCGAAAGGCACAACTGGGTTGTGAAGTACGCTGCATTCATTGGGGCCTTGATGCTTCTTCAGGTGAGTGTCACCCTCTGAGAGCTGCGTTCATTTGACAATATGTACTTCCCTTTTATGTGCGAACATTTATCTGAGTTGTATGAACCGGACGACGTGCAGCTAAATGGGAAGACTATCGAATCGGTTGTTGCCAGAAAGCAGGGAGAAACAAATAAAAGAAGCAATGACATACAAGTGCATTTCTGTATAACCAGTTTCAGGATGCTGCCATATATATGGATCACCTGAGAGGGAAGGCAGCTAATCTAACCACACCCATAAACATAACACACGGAAATTCTCAATTGGGAAACGTTTCATATATGAGTTTCCTTTCGTGTGCATACAGGTTCGGGCTACCAAGACGAGTGGGCACAGCTGGAGCCCCCCCGTATTGTGAGAGCTTATGCACGCAGTTAGTCGAGCGAGTTTGAACGATTTTTTACACATCATGGCACAATTTTGAACCGTTTGGAAATTTGCACAATTTGAACAGTGTGAAAATTTTGAACATTTCTGAACAAATTTTCACAACTCTTTTTTTGGCCACAAGCTAAGATTTTTTTTTTTTTTTTTTCTTTACACTTCCCTGCGAGTGCCTTTGCGTAAACACAATTTTATGCATTTGTTTCGCCAGATTTTTCGCATTTCCTTTTTTGACTTTCATTATCGTAAGCACTTCATAGGGGCAAAAGCGGAAAGAAGAATCTGGGAAAGTGACGCTTACTGTAACGAACTGCAAGGAAGCTAAGGATGTGTGTATGAACCCCCCCCTCACCCCCTGGACCAAAATGAGGTTATTCTTCTTTTCCTTCGCTTTGGTTTACCTCATTCTGGTAAACAATGTCAACTGCTTCTTAAAGAATTTGATCAGAGGATTTTACTGCAACGATGAGAACTGCTACGGCATTTTAGGTAAGACGAGCGGGGGAATAGGAGAAAAAGAAAAAGAGAGCGTTAGATAGGGGATGGGACAACAATTGGAGGACGCCCCTGCGCATGGCTGTCTCCACCCCAGGCGCAGGGTGAATCGCGGTCCGAACATTG